CTTTCACGGCGAGCTTTGCATGCAGGCAGTCGCTCCAAATTACTTTAATTAAAGGATGTTGATACTGAGAAGGGTTATCAAGTTCTGCGCTCAATAGGATCATGTCTATGGCACTGCTCTCGTGTTACGCCGAGGCGACAAGAGAGCTTTGTGGGCTATTTCGAAACCAGAAGCTAAATGTTGTGCAGATTCAACCGTGGCTGCGCTAGTTATGGTGGATAGTACCTTATTATCATCCTTCGTTCCCTTGAATCTGGTGGGGGTTTTAGTTTCTCTAGATCTTTTTTATGGTTTTATTTGTATATACACAAGATAGCCGTCCATAAGAAAACAGGTTCATGCTAATATCGTTAAAGATACAAACACTAAAATGTTTGTTTTTCTTCTTGCATTACCAAGACAGTTGATAAACACAGTTGGTTGCAAAGCACTTGACAATCTGCAATTCACTTTTCTTTCGTTCTTTCTTCTTTTTGCTTCTTTTTTTTTCACTCGATTTAGACCGATGTAAATAGAGAGAACTCATTTCTCTAGATGAAAACAGAATAGGAGATGCCAATGAAAATAAGTATATAATTCCTTTCTTTTTATTTTTCGATTCCTCATCATATATTTACAATAATTTTGCAATCATAATTTGGACAATACTCTTATTTACAATATACATACATATATTACTACGAATTCTACAATCGTCGATGAGATCAGCTTCTGAAGCCCTTTTGGGGGGGGGGGGGGGGGGGCTTCGCAAGAGACATTTGGCCAGTTCACACTATTAATGCCAAATTCTCCACTTTCCGTAAGTGATACACAGTTGGGGGAAAAGAAAATGATGACAAATAACAACAGCATTGTACTATCAAGTCACAAAACCTGGTGAAAGTATTACACAAATCCTAAGACCCGAAGAGAAGGAAAAAAAAACAACTAAAGTAATAACACATTAAAAAAAAAAAAAAGTCTTTCAAAATAAAAATTATTTTTTAACCCACCCTTCTTTTTTCTTTTCTCTTTTTTTTTATTGGGCCTTATACAACCAAATAATAATAATTAAAAAAATACACGAGGCTACAAAATTTCGTCCTGTATACCATTTTCTTGCCCTGGGCTGTGACCACGTAAGATTCACTATAGCGGAACGACCCCGCGGGAATCATCCGGGTAATTTTGTGATATAAGTCCCGGTTAAGGTCCCTTCTCTCGGTTACTTCTTTTTAACGCCTGTGACCCATTACTTGATATTTATAAATTAAAAAAAAACTACTCTGTGTATGCGAAGAAGAGGTGACAAGAGGTGGAACTAATTACAAAAAAAAAAACAATATTGACAGAAATTGGAAGGTTTAAAAAAAAAAAAAAAAAATACCATATCACTGGCCCACGGGACAGAAGACCGAGACTGGGCTATAACCACAGGACTTGAGAGAAAAAAAAGACCAAAAAAAAAAACAGATACATAAATTTCGTAATGTTCCTGCATATTCAAAGTTATGAAATGCAAGTGCACATACATGTAAAAAAAACACTGGATGTCCAAATCGGTTCGTTCGATGTAATGCTAAATTTGGTTTCCTAGATTGAACTCTTTTTTAAGTTTTCCTTGCGTTGAACCTTATTGAACCTTACAGGGAAGTAACAACCATGCCAAAAGCAAAAGTGAAGAATCTCTCTCTTTCTTCTTTTAAAGGCCTAACAATTTGGCACTTATGATAAACACTCACAAACCTCCACCATACACGCGGCCAAGCTCACAGATGGCACAAATGACAAACAAAAATAAGAAGAAAAAAAACAAAAAATACAAATAAATCACAAAATAATTTTTTTAAAAATTACCTGGGACAACAATCACTATTACATGTTTTGTTCTGCTTTTTTTTTACGACATTGTGGTAATCTCAGACTATATGAAATTGACCTGAGATGTAAAACAAAGGATTTAAAAAAGAAAAATAACAATAAATAAATAAACCATTGTCAAGAGGGCATCACAGGTGTCGAGAGAGAGTGCCTGTGAGCGAGGCCTGGTCTCCAAGGCAGCGACCAAGCACAAACAACTTTTAACTTCGCCTGACGATGCTTAGCCACACATCGGAAGGCGTTCGGGATATGTCACGCTGACACACTGGGACGTATAAATGAAGTCTGGTATTCGTTCTATGACAAGAGAGAAGGAAAAGGACAAAAAATATATATATGCGAAGATTACAAAGTCTTCTTATGGTGGCTAAGCAGACATCAACATAACAATACTTATATTGACAGTAAATCTTAGGCACATTTTCAGATGAAAGTTCTCTTTGTGGCTATTCATTAATACAGGAATACAAAATCAAACAAAAAAAATAATAACAATAATTAAAAAATAAAAAATAAAATTTTCAAGTCTCTATGAATCATCTTTGTGTACCTGAGGGCAACTTTACCTAACAAAAACATTGATTGTCAGTGTTAGAACAAGAAAAGCTCTATACGTAAAAACAGAAAGAAGAAGATGGAGTGTAGAATGAGGGTACCTAAGCCAGGACCATTGCGACGTTGCAATCATAACTAAAATATTTTGTTCTTTCAGTACGGTTAATATTACAACGTAAAAGTTAATCTTGATGGGATTGCAAATTCAAAAAAATGCATTTATTTTTCAACTGTGCCAGCAAGGGCCCTTCGGCACTATCACTAAGAAGCCAAGAAATGGACATATCGACTAAAACAGGAGCACCTCCCTCTCTTTCTCCCTCTCCCTCCCCGTGTCCAGTGCCGATCGCCTCCGCTTGCGTACCGCCTGGACCCCGAGAGGGACCCCCTGCAGCTGGCACGGCGACGGTACGTAATCAACTCGTAATGCGCAACCTGGGAACGGCAGTGTTATCACTACCCGGTGTTGCCTGGCTACCGCCTCTCGGTCCACTTGGCCTAAAGTCAACAAACCTTCCCTTGGCAAGATGTTGGGCCGAGCGTGGTGGCGGCGGCGTCAAGTGTGCGGCGGTGGGGATGAGAGAGGGGGGGAGGGAGTCATGAGGTGCAAACCCTGGGCTGGTTAAACTGGTTACGAATCCTGGGTAAAAAAAAGACTATTGTACGGCGTGGAAGCTAGGCGGTGTATGGCCAGCGACAGGCTGCTTGCTACACGCGCCCCGGACGCCCTTCCCTCCCTCCGCCGAGCCTCGGGTCCTGCCAAACCGTGACGCTTCTCGGGACTCACTCTCGGCGAGGGCTTGCGCGTGCTGCAGGAGATCTCCCTCTCTCCCCTGAAGGAGAGCGGGAAGGGATGCCGAGTTTTCGTTTGGTTTCGCATCTCCATTTTTAAGCGCGACGCCATCGCCGAGGTGATTGCATTGAGACTACTCTCGAGGCAGGCAGGCCCTGGGGCGGCCGCGAGGGGGGAGGGGGAGGGCCCCGGGACCTGCAAGAGACCGCGCCGACTCGAGTGCGGTCGGCGCGGCGTTACAAACAGGTTTTACGAAGCCAAGCGGGCCGACTCCTCGCGCGTGTGAGGGCGTGGGGCGGCGGCATACAACACTGGCAGAAGCTTGGGTTAGTGTGGGCGTCTTACTTAACTCAAGTGTTATATGACAGGCGGAAGGCGGGCGTGGGTGCCAGCCTCCGCATCGGGAACTACTTAGCGGCATACATCCGGAATATACAGGTAGGTTAAACAGGTAAATATGGTAGTAGACATGGCAGTAAACATTATATAAAAGACAGAAACATCAACAAGAAAATATGATATCCATATAGTCAGCATAAAGACTTTAAAAAAAGGGACAGAGAAAAATATATATTCATATCTATCAAAACTACACAAGAACTGACACTACGAAGGGTTCATGGGGCAGGCAGTTCACCCCCCCCTGCTGATGTAGGCCTGCGCCCACGGCCCGTCGAGAGCCGTGGGCGCCGGGGGGCAACGGGAGCCCATGAACCGATCGCAGCCGAGATTAGCGCTGCTTCCAAAATGAGATCAATTGTTCGACAACTTGTAGTCTTTGTATTATGATATATCAAGGCAGGTAACAGTCAAGCCAAACAAACAAACATCCAAATCTGGACAATCTCTTTCCTTTTGCGGACACTGACCCTTTGTATCAAACAAGGTAATAGCTTGTACATAGGCACGTACACGGGAAATAGGCGTACATGTGCATGTATAATACAGATACATATACTTACATATGTATATATCAATACATATATCTATACACATATATATAATATATATATATTTTATATTTTATATTATATATATATATATATATATATATATATATATATATATATATATATATATATATATGCAAACACACATACGCGCATATTTAATGTACAACTGATACAGATAACTCTGACGCAGGTGTAGCAGGTCTGATGGGGGAGAGGGGAGAGGGGAGAGGGGAGAGGGGAGAGGGGAGAGGGGAGAGGGGAGAAGGGGGATGCGATGAATATATTACTAAAAAAACATCGAGGCTACTAAGTGAACTCGCTAAGTATTTCAAACAGCAATAATTCTTTTAAGTATCACACTGACAGAGGATGGCGGCAACACCCTTATCATCAATGTTGCCACTAACAACATTACATTAATGAGTGAACAAATTACGGTGAAAATAAGTAACAAAAATCAACGGGAAGACTGGGTGGAGATAACGGAGGATATGAAGGTTGAGAACAGAGAACAGAGAACAGAGAACAGAGAACAGAGAACAGAGAAGAGAGAGAGAGAAAGAGAGAGAGAGAGAGAGAGAGAGAGAGAGAGAGAGAGAGAGAGAGAGAGAGAGAGAGAGAGAGAGAGAGAGAGAGAGAGGGAGAGAGAGAGAGGGAGAGAGAGAGAGGGAGAGAGAGAGAGAGAGAGAGAAGAGAGAAGAGAGAGAGAGAGAGAGAGAGAGAGAGAGAGAGAGAGAGAGAGAGAGAGAGAGAGAGAGAGAGAGAGAGAGAGAGAGGGGGGGGGGAGGGGGGGAGAGGAGAGAGAGAAGGGGGGGGGGAGAGGAGAGAGAGAAGAGAGAGGAGAGAGAGAGAGATAGTGGGGGGGAGGGGAGGGGACGGGGGAGGGAGGTGGAGGGTGGCAGGCAGAGCTACTGGGTCAGGAGAGCCAAATTTAGCACAATATATCGGGATACGTCATCCTTGTCTCCACAACGAAGCTCAATTTTCCTTGATAAATACAACAGAGGGATGTTTGGTGGAGTACATTGCGGGACGGGGGAGCGGGGGTTGATGGGGGGGGGGGAGGGGGAGGAGGGGAAAGGGGGCATGGTGGGGAGGGGGTGGGGGTGGCAGGGTGCTCGGTACAATTGTTGGGGAAAAGTGGCAATATGGGCTTGTGAGCAAACTTAACAAAGTGCGGGTCGGAGGGAGCGTGGAGGGGGGGGAGCAGCCGGGCCGCACCCACCCCCGCCCCCCCGCCCCGCCGCCCCGCAGTCCGAGTGACCATGTAACGTTGGAGCCCATACACCTTCAGGTATGACAATAAATAAATGAGTAAGTTTATAAATAGTTACAAAAATTTTGTACTGTGAATGTTGAAGATTAACTTTGCTCAGGAGCACAAGGTTTGAGAAGGAAAAAAATATATAATAAAAAAAATATAGACGGTGTTCAGAGTTGATGAGATCGGACACTGGTAATCTCTGACAGGAAGGCGCATGTGTGGACCACTCACGCAAAGCTGGTCCTTGCGGCCCATTGACCCAAGGCACAAGTTTGCGTGCTCGCGATGCAGCTTCTTTGGGCATATCCAATAGCTTTCTTTGGATCACGGTAAAGTTTGTATAAGAGACCCAGCAGCCTGGGCGCGGGCGGCGGCTCGCGGGCGGCTGGCACTCGGCCTGGCACCGACCCGGCGAGCACGCTGGGCACGCGCACGCACGCACGCTGGCACCACACTCATAACTGAATACGAAATAAATACAATACGTATTTACATAAAAAACAATGTTCAAACAGTGAGATCATGGAGTTTTGTGGAAGTCCCCGGCCACTCGGGGAGGCGGGGGAGGGCGGGCGGGTCGCCGGCGGCCGTGCGGGCGTGCGGGCTCGGCGCGGCGCTACAAGCAGACCATCACTTCACTCAAGTGTCTCTCCCAGTGTGTATATAATGTCTTGAGCACCAGAAACACCGCCGCCGCAACACAACCGAGCCGCTCGCACGTCGCACCTCGGAGGCGCCCGCCGCCGCCCGCCCACCGCCCGCCGCGGCCGCCTCTGCGCCACCAGGCCCGGGGAAGGCAGAAGCGTGAGATCTTGACGGCCGAAGACCAAGGGCGGCGAGGGAGCCACTTGGGAACACAGACACACGCAGACACACACACGCCCGTCGAGGATTCCTGGCGTCTTGACCCTGGTCGCCCCTTCCTCTCCCGGGCCGCCCTCGGTGCCAAACACACAGCCCTTGGCACTGTGGCATTCCTGCCTGTCGCCCCGCCGCGAGCAGGCGTCAGGCGGCGCTGGAGTGGCGCGGTGGCGGGGGAGAGTCGGCGGCGGAGGCAGTGGCGCTGGCCGGCGGCGCGGGGACCGAGAGCCATTACGAGGACGTGGTCTTGGTGCGCTTGACGAGGGCGGGCGGCGGGTCCTCCTCCAGCTTGGACGCCGGCCGCTTGCTCTTGCGGATCCTCAGGTAATCTGGAACGAGAGAGGCGCGGGTCAGTCGCCGCAGGCAAAACAACGACAATGTTGACATGTACAAAACTATATCACAAACACGATCATCTCCTAGCCACACCCGCCCCCCACACAAAACCTCAACACCCAAGCGCCACCGGGAGCCTAGATTCAACTAGCATCCGCACCCCCCCCCTCCCCCTAGCCCCCACGCCAAACACACTCGCAGGAGAAACAACTCAAAATGACATGTTAATGGGAGGCGAGAGAGAGAAACAAGGACAACATAAAAAATGAAGAACAGGCGCTCGGACCAAGGACTCGGCGCCCGTGGTTGCCAGTACCCGACAGATGCTGGTGCAGCTGCCGTCGGCCTCGGCCCCAGACCCCACGCATGCGGGGCAACAAGGGGCATGCAGAAGGTGTGCGTGTTTGTGCTTGTATCTGTGTGTGTGTGTGTGTGTGTGTGTGTGTGTGTGTGTGTGTGTGTGTGTGTGTGTGTGTGTGTGTGTGTGTGTGAGAGAGAGTGAGAGAGTGAGTGAGTGTATGAGTGAGTGAGTGAGTGTATAAGTGAGTGAGTGAGTGTATAAGTGAGTGAGTGAGTGAGTGAGTGAGTGAGTGAGTGAGTGAGTGAGTGAGTGAGTGAGTGAGAGAGAGAGAGAGAGAGAGAGTGAGTGAGCGAGTGCGTGCGTGCGGGTACGAGCGCGCGCGTACGAGTGCCTATTCGAATTTCTTTTGGAACGCGAGCAAGCAACCGTACGTTTGCATTCCGAGCGTGTACCAACAAGTGCATCCGCGTGTGCGTAAAGAGTGCTCACATCTGTGCGAATGCGAACGAGCGAGCGAGCGTGTGCGTGTATAGGAGCGAGTGCAACCGCCAGTGTGTCTGTGTGAATGTGTGTGCGCGAAAAGGGAGGCGGAGGAGAGCGAAGCCACATGCGGGCCGAGGCTCCCAAACACGTGACGCCAAACACTGTACCTCGACTTGACCATAGATGATTTATGCATGGGAATCGGACACCGCGAGCTCCCACTGCCGTCGCTGGGTTGCAGGAGGGAAAGCCCACACACACACACACACACACACACACACACACACACACACACACACACACACACACACACACACACACACACACACACACACACACACAAATAAACGATAAATAAACAATAAAAATAATATACTAATGATAAAAAATCAAACCTATAAAGAATTAATCGACTGCACAGAAACATTCAAAGCAAGACAACGAATTGGAAAAAAAAATCAGTATACATTTTTCAGAGAGAAAGAATAAAAAAAAAGGAAAAAAAGAAAGGGGGTGAAAAAAGAGGGGAAAAAATAAAGAGAGGGAAAGGGGGGAGGGTGATAGTGAAGGAAGAAAGGAAAGGGGGAAGGGGGAATGGCAAAAAAAAAAAAAAAAAAAGGAAAAAAGGGGGGGGGGGAGTGGGGCAACAGTGATAAAAAAGGGGAGAGAGAAGAGAAAAGGAAATGAAAAATAGGAAAGGAAAAATGGGAATAACAGAAAAGTGAAGAGAAGAGAAAAGAAAAAAAAAATCACCGAGATGTGAGAAGAGACAAAACAAAATAGTAAAAAGAAAAGCGAAAGGAGAAAACAGAAAAGTAGGAAGAGAAAATAGAGAAGAGAAAAGATAATAAAAAATAAATAAAATAAAAAAAAAGCGAGAACAGAAAAGGGTACGGGGGTGTTGCAGCCCTCCCTCCCTCCCTCCCTCCCTCCCTCCCTCCCTCCCTCCTTCCCCCTTCCCCCCCTCATCCCACCCCCCAAACCACAAAACAAAATTTTCATTCCCCGAGAAAATGAAAAATCCAAACCACGCGAACGGGTGAGAAGCAATTATCATGATCATTTTAATTTCATCTTTTTCTTTTCTTTTCTTTTCGACGGCGTAGCAAAACCACAATTTCACACCCTGTCGGAAGAATAAGAATAAGAATAACAATAAGAATCAGAAGAATTAGAAGAAGAAAAGAAGACAAAGAATCAGCCGAGGAAGAAAAAAAAGCTAAAGAAAAAAAAGACAAAGAAGAAGAAGAAGAAGAAAGACGGAGAAGAAAAAAGAAGACAAAGAAGGAGGAGAAGAAGAAAAAGGAGACAAAGAATAAGAATTAGAAGAAATAGAAAAAAAAAGAAAAAAAGAAAGATGAGCAAGAAAAATGAAAAGAAAGAAAGATGAGAAAGGAAAATGAAAAGAAAGAAAGATGAAAAAAAAGAAAATTGAAAAAAAAAGAAAAAGAAGAAGAAAAATCCTAACTGTTGCCCATCTGCACAACCGCGCTGCCAGTGATGGAGGAATTGCAAGGAAAAACCGACCGGGCAGGAGGGCATTGATTAGCAAATGTTACTACCGGCTGAGGTTGCTGGCTCTCTGGTCGCCACACTTGTTTCAGCATTGCTTGTATTTTTTTCTGATTTTTTTTTTTTTTTCTAGAAACATTAGATGGAGAGGGAGGAAGATGGGGAGAGAGAGGAAGATGGGAGGGAGAGGGAGAGGGAAGGGAGGGGGAAGGGAGTGGAAGGGGGAGGGGGAGGGGGGGAAGAGGAGGGACGGAGGGAGGAGAGGAAGTCACAGCAACAGTACTTTCCAATAAATATGAATCACATTTATCACATCTCTTGGATTTCCTCTTATCCTGGGCGCTGGGAGGTTAAGGACGAGAAAGAGAGAAAAAAAAGACAGGGGAGAGAAGAAAAGAAAGAAGTGAGAAACGAGAAAAGCGAAAAGGGAAAAGACAGAAGATACAAACTCGACAGACAAGAGAGAAACTAGAGAGAGCGAAAAGGGAAAAGACATGCGAGAGAGAAAAGAGAGAGAGCAGAGAGGGCGAAAAGGGAAAAGACAGGCGAGAGAGCAGAGAGAGCGAGAGGAGAGTCCGCTCCCGTCGGCCGCTGTGAGAGGCGGCGATGCACCCGCGTCTCACGCCGCTCCTACTGGTGTTCCGTCCCGTGGGACCGGGTGACCCCCGCCCTCGCTCGCGCCCGGTTACAGCGCTGCAGGCCCCGCCGAGGGAGGGCGTGCAGGCCAGATAGACAGGCCCCGCATAAAACGTGACATGTAGCACTTTCTTTCCAGGCCCGTGTGTGGCCGCGACCTGCCCGCGCGCCTTAATGACACACGCGGCGAAGTCCTTACCGGTTTTCGGACTCGCATCCTAAACCCTACATCCCTCCGGAACGGACTGAAGGACGCAAATCACTAGCATCAACGTGTCATAAAAGACAGAGTTTTATTAGAATTTTGTGGCCTTGGCACATACGAGTCGAAGTCGGGCGGCGTCGGGGGAAGAAGGGCGCGATCCCAAGGCAGAGCCGGGTCTCGGGGGCGCCATCTGTCCGCCATGATCACCACCTGCGCGTCCGGGCAACAAGGACACCCTCCC